CCACCACCACCACCACCACCACGCGGTGCATTCCTGGTACTGCTACAGCTACCAGGACTACTTCCGACGAAGAGGAGGACAATCACGACGGCGACTGCCACTACGACTACTATACGTACAAATCGTGGCAATGCAAAGTACGTGTACAAATGCAGAAATACTCATTATCAACCATCCTTCATGCCACCGATGTGTCGCCAGCAGTGCATTCCGGGCGAAGCCGTCGCAGAAGCGAAAGGCAAGGGAACCGGCCGCCAACGAGACGGAGATTCCGGGCTGTCTCATTTGGGGGTACAGCGGATGACTCGGATGACCGTGGATGTCTTAGTCAGCTTGGCTGCCCGGCCCGGAGCTGGGCGAAGGCGTTTTGGGTTTTTAGGGTTCAGGTTTAGGGTTTAGGGTCAGTTGCATTTATTGTGAAAGTGCCTCGCAACTCAGGTCAGCACAAACTTCAGCTAGTGGTGGTGGGAGATTTCATGCCTCCATCTCGCTGTGACTACCACGCCTTATCAACTTCAAAACCAAAGTCGCAGGAATTTCTGGAGTTTCGAGGCAGACGGTTTGAATCTTTTGGAAACTACTACAGCGTTTGACCCAGATCCGGCCGAGAATGACACAAGCACAATCGCGCAAGGCTTGGACCTGCCTCATGTCCGTCCCAGGATGAGAAATATCATGACAAGCATAATCTCGTCAAGACTGCGTCTGTGACCTACACCTTCCAGCCTCAGGAAATGATCCGCCCAACCAAGAAGACCAAGTAAGTGTGCAGCTTTCATGTGTGGATGTTCCGATGCCCTGCCGAAGCTTTGCTCAGATCCATGGCAGGACACCGGGTTGCGGCATCTCTTTTACAGATCTTGTGGTGCACAGAGTGTTGCCATCCGCCACGGTGCCTACCATGGACCAACGGAATCTACCAGATCGAAGTCGATTGGCGAATTCGGCGAACCACCTTCGTGAATTTTGTTGCACCCGGGGTATCGAAGCTTTGACACCCGGAATCGTTGACTGCGAGATTTGGTTCCTATGAAGCTGGGCACTTCTCAACAGCCAGGGCCCCTTGTCAACTTTCCCCGCCGCTCATCAACAATGCTCCTATTACCCCGCGTGAACACAATGCCTGTCAGAAATGGAATCGCAGTGCTATCCCATGAGTGTTCCCCCCCTTTGCAATTGCAAACATCGTCCTAGCCTAGGGCCTAGAGTACCACACCTGTCTCTGCACCGCCAGGTTCGGAGACCTGTACCTAAACCACCTCCGAATGACAGGCTTTCCGAGCCAAAGCTGGCACTACTCAGAAACTGCCCTTGTAAATCTGAACGTGCAAGCCGTGAGCCTGAACTTTGAACGGACCCTGGCTGTGAGAGATCAGCAGCCAACTCGTGAATTCGTCGTCTACACAGCAACGCAGTTCCGTCTGCTTCCTGGAGCTCAACATCGCATCCCGCTGATTTCTCGCTTTCGAGTTTTAGGTTGCACCTTGCCAGGCTCTATTCTGGGGGTTTAGGGTACCCTAAACCCTAAATGGGGCAGCCGTCGCATGGGGTTGCAGCTTTGGATGCGTGTCTACACGGTGCGGCTCCAGGAGGAGCTAGGACCTGGAGCCGCATCAGAGCTAATGTAGGGGCCTTCATAGTTAGAATAGGGTTTTGGTGCCCATTATAAGTTACCTGCAATACTATTTTGGGGGTTCCTTATTATGATTATAGTATAATTATACTATAATCNNAAGGAACCCCCCAAAATAGTATTGTAGGTAACTATTTAGGCCCCCTATGTTAGTGCTTTGACACTTCCTCCGTGCTCAGTCGGGCGCTTGGCATAGAGGTGCCTCGCCGACACGGTGGTCACTCAGGGGGGCGGAATTGACTGCGACGTGTGTTGCAGATAAGGTTGTCGGGATCAGTAGCTCGGCCGAAGCCCCCGCC